TTAAAAGCATGTCGGAGATGTGCATAAAATTAAATTGGAAAATCTTGAGTCTATTTTTGGCTGCTTCCTAATGTGTCTGCATAACTAAGGGTCAATTACTTAACTGGAATTGAAACTCAGGTACCATCAGTACAACGGAAACACGGCGACGGAATTTGAACTTGACTTGTTAAGTTGATGTTCCATCTATGTGTTTCCATCTCCCAACTCGAAATAGTACTAACGACAGTTGCCACCAGCTAGGTGCTACAAGGCTCCAAGTTAAAAAAAGAAAAGGCCTCATCAGTATGGACAACAACCGAAGCAAACCAAATCCACTGCTAGCCAATCACTTCTAACTTAACGCGACCTTCTAGGACGGAGATCCGGCTTCAGATAGTCTGAAACTCTCACTCTTCATGGGAACCGGCAGCCTCATCTTTCACCTGTGCTCACTCTAAAAAGTATATATATTCTATGGCAAACACATGACATCCACCTGTCCCTTCTACTCTCGCTCTCCTTGTCCTTACTACCAAGGTACGATGTTCCCAGTGTCCTGCTGTCCCAGAAAGGCCCCCTTTACCTTTCCTCATGCTGGGTTCTTCTATGAAACTTCCCCTCTACTGGCTGGATGGTCTGTTAACCCAATGAGAGTAAATATCAACAAGGCCTTAAGAACTGAAAGTGCCCTCTCAATGTATCTCACTTCCAAACAACACCCAGGTGAAACGTTTCAATACAGCCCAGGGTAGAAAGGTGCAAGGGACTGCACTGCTGGGGAAGGAAAAGGCCTTATCTCGCTGCCCTCAAGTGGAGTCGACTCCAGGAGGCAATCTAGGACAGGGCAGAACTGCCTCCTTTGAGACTGGAATTCCTTTGGGTAGTGAAAGCCCTTCCTTTCTACCACTTACAAACACAGGGTGGGGTGACCCTGAATCCCACCACAAATGGCGTTAAGGCAGCTCTGGACACAAAGGAGTAACAACTCCTTTGGGCTTGCAATGGATGACATTATAAAGTCATTATGGACCATTTTTAATGCGACCATTAATCTGGGCGTTTTTTCCCTTCAAATCGACAAGGGTTGACTTTTTAAAATAATATTTATTTTATCTGATTAGGTACATAGGAGACATTGCATAAGGCACTTCAAATCAAGTGCTCAAATATGTAATCCCTTTTGTATAGTCTACTGGCCACAGGGTCAAGAAACATAATACGGAAGGAGAAAAAAAACCCAAAAACCTCATGTATTGCTTTCAGCAGGACTACTGCACTGCAGAAGAAGAGTCGGGAAATAGCGATAGTGCTTATATCATATCAAACATCATAGAACTTAGCATCACAATGTAATACTCATTATACTGGACTGCTTTACCTTATTAGCTCTAAATATTAATTTTTGTCTCCCCATGTCTTCCAATCAGAGTTTGTCTTCACTCCTAAATAACAATTTCTAATGTACTAACATAATCTTTTGCATTAATCTTAAATATTCTGCAGTTGAAATTACATTCCTGTAATTATAATTATAACTAATAGTCCTCCCATTTCCCATGTCATAATTAATGTCAAGTTCTATTAGAGCACAATCATGCTGCCTTCTCACTTATGAGGCTTCTTTTATTTTCACAACATTTATAGTATATTGAATTAAGCAATAAAGAGTTATAGAAGCCGTCAGGAAGGACAGCCCTTTGATCACAGATGGTTAGTAAACAGAAAGTGACTTGCAAAATATTTTTCTGCATTATGTTTAAACCTAATAGAAAATAGCTGCTATGTGCTATTCAATCTCAATTGGTGAAAAAAGAAATCAATGGTTTAGTGATCTATGTGTTAGATTTCCTAAGAGGTTATTTAATGTGCTCTCGGCAAGGATGAGAGAATAGATGACAACAAAATAAAATACCTAGAAATCATACTTGTTGACTGCAGTAGATGACATAGACAGATGTGTCAATTGCAACAGTTTTGTGGGCAATAAAATACATTTGATACCCACAGATTAATTTTTCATCGGCCCTGGTTACATTGATACTACATTGCTTTTAAATTGCTTCCAAAAGACAACTTTATTCTTGAATCATTTAAGCAAAGAGAACCATGTATTCTTGGCACTGTTGAAATTAAAACTCAAAGGTGATATACAACTTGAACAATTTGCAATGTAATTGGGGGGTGGGTAAAGTAACATAAAATTAACACCTTCCAAAAACTCAATGCCACTAGGATAGTGGGGGAACAGGGTGGGCCCTAGCCCACACACGGGGAGGGTATTGTTCATGCCTCCAGAGGACACCGAGAAAGGGACCAGACTTCAACCTGGGGCGCCAAGCCTCGAGGGCGAAATACCAGCATGAAGCAGCGAACTAACGGAAATGTCTGCCGGCAGGCCCAGGTCCCAGCTGCACAGAACCATCCCCAGAAGAATGCTCTGCAGAGGACAGCACTGATGATACAGCCCAGGGAGAGTGGCTGGTCTGTCCAGACCACACAGGAGCAAACTAGGAGGGAGAGAGAGACAGAGAGAGAGAGAGAGAGAGAGAGAGAACCTCATGCTGGCCCACCGGACAACATTCCTGCTTGGAGCAGCCAGTGCAGAGAGCACCTAGGCCAGTGGTTCTCAACCTTCCTAATGCCGCCACCCTTTCATACAGTTCCTCATGTGGTGGTGACCTCCCAACCATAACATTATTTTCATTGCTACATCATCACTGTCATTTTACTACTGTTATGAATCGGGTGACCCCTGTGTAAGGGTCGTTCAACCCCGAAAGGGGTCACGACCCACAGGTTGAGAACCGCTGGCCTAAGGGCTGGCCCCACCACAAGACACGGTGTCCCATCACTGACCCACAGGGCTACAGGGAACAGCACTAGAGACACAGTTGAGCCCCTCCCCACCACCACTGCCCCTAACAACCAGAGCGAAACACAAAGGGAGTGCAACAGAGCAGCAAGGGGAGCAAAGCAATGAAGTCCCCGAGGAATGAAAATACACTTCTGACTAGGGGGGCGGGGCTTGGCACTTCACCAGATCCAATTGGAAAACATTCATAAGGGTCAGCAGACAGATCTGGAACAATTTTTAGGCTTTTTTCTTTTCTTTTTCTCAAGTCTATCCATATAAGATAGACAAAATAACCAAACTCATGGAAAAATAATGGGCCCTTCCACTCTGGGGGGATGTGGGAGAGGAGGAAGTGGGAGAAAGGGAGCGTGTAGCCAACACCCAGGGACAAGAGAAAAATAAGAGATCTAAAATCAATGGCAAGGGTGTAGAATTCCTGGTGGGGTGTGATCTAGTGCAATGTAGCCAAGAGAAAGTACTGAAAGCCAAATGAAGGTTGAACGTGATGGTGGGACAAGAAGAAAAAAAAATAGAGGAAAGAACTTAGAGGTAAAAGACATTTATAGAGGTGCAAATATAGTGTAAATATATTAATACATTATGATAGGGGTATAGGCCTATGTACATATATTTAAAACTTAAGTATTAAAGTAGCAGACAGGCATTGGGTCTGTATGCATGCTCACCTTCCTGACATGATTGCTGAAGAAAAAATGGGTATATAAAAAATGTGGTGAAGAAAGCTGATGGTGCCTGGCTATTAAAAAATATGGTGTCTGTGGTCTTAAAGGCTTGAAGTTAAACAAGCAGCCGTCTAGCAGGGAAGCAACAAACCCACATGAAAGAAGCACAGCAGCCTGTGTGACCACAAGCTGTCAATGGAATGTATCAGGCATCAGAAAACCCCAAACAACAAAATATATCAATGCAAATGATGGGGGTGGGGTAGAGACCCCAAACCCTCTGTAGACAATTGGACATTCCCACACAGAAAGGTCATGAGGAAGGAACAAGTCAGTCAGGGTGCAGCCTAGCACCAATGGAATGCACAACATTCCTCTAGTTCTTTAATGCTCCCCCCACCCCCCAATCACAACCCCAGTTCTAACTCATAAATCCGGCTAGACCGAAGTATGTACACTGGTACAGATAAGAGCTCTTGACACACAGAATCCAGGACAAATGAACCTGTCAGAAACAGTAATGGGAGTAGCAATAACAGGAGGGTAGAGGGAAGGTGGGTGGAGAAGGGGAAGAAATGGGGAACCAACTATAAGGCAGAAAACCTCCACCCCACCCATGCCCCCGGGGTGCCCATGCCCCTGGGGTGATGAACAACAGAACGAAAACAGTAATAATTTATAATTTATCAGGGGTCCACAAGGGTGGGAGGTGTGGGAAGGAGGGAAAAGTAGGAGTTGATACTCCTATTTGCGAGCTCAAGCAGAAAGAAGATGTTTTGAAAATGATCATGGCAACATATGTACAAATGTGCTTGATACAACTGATGTATGGATTATTATAAGAGCTGTAAGAGCCCCCAATAAAATGATGCATTAATGGGGAAAAAAAATCCAAGGTGTGGAATCTTTCTGGCTCAGGGAGGTTACAGTTGGGCTCTACACACAAACTGCAGATGGATATTTCGGCATTCCTTTTCTAATACATAAAGTAGTCCTTACTTCTGGGTCTTTCAAATCCTTGCCACCAAAAAAGAAAATAAAACAAAACCAATGTCATATGCAATAATTTACCTAGTGCAGATGAGTATCGTTTTATGTAAAAGAGTTATTCGACAACAGTGCAGTTGCAAAATACAAATGACAACAAAATCAAGAATCAACTGTAAATATTACTCTCTTGGACTGATAATGAGCATAATTTTGTACACTGCAGGTTTTCTTTGGATTGATCTTATTTTTACATGTTATTTAAAACATGTAAAACATGTAAATAACATGTTATCTTACATGTTATCACCTCATGCCAAAGTGATTTAATAGTCTAATACTTCCCACGTAGTAAAACATTCCAACAAAAGGTAAAATCATAAGCTCCCATGAAAGATGGTGAGAAGCCACCCAGTCTGAGGACAACACTAACCAAAGGAACTGGGAAGGTGAAAAGACGACCGAAGAGTAATTCCAACAAAGCATGGGCCTACCTGAGTCATACGCAAAATCTCTGGGTTCCTGTTTAATCATCAGTGGAGGGGGGAAGCTTTGGCTGGCCGCACTGCCAACCATAGTGCTGTGTTCATACACTGGGTCATGGTACTCCTGTTTAAACCCTTGAGGTGGGAAAGGGATGTTTGGCTCAGACATCTGGCGTTGGTACATAGGACGCCCTTCCCTTGGCATTGTCGGCAACGGAGGAAAGGAATTACAGGGTTCAGAAAGCTGGCGGCGAAATCTGGGGAAGAAAGCATATTGCAGATAAACATTAAAAGCAATTAATGAATGAGCATGTTTAATTAACAAATAGGACCCAAAATATAAACTTTTGACAAACACAATACTCTTTTCCCCCTCTGAAGGTTTTTTCGTCCTAACATAACTTGGGTTTCTTTCCCTTCTTGCAATACCTCCTCGGTACCTTATAATAAGTTAAAGCTGTACTCAAATAGGGAGAAGCTGCACTAATCTGAGGAAACGCACACCCTAACAACTAAAATGCCCAATTCTAAATAAATTGGAATTTTATATATTAAAAGAGTTCTCCAAAAGTTACATATAATAAGAAACAGGGATCATAGAAAGGATCTGTCCTGAAGTTCTTTTAATTCTCGTACCAAAGTAAGCAAAAAACAATCAATAACCTACTTACTGCTTTTCTTCCCACGGACCATCAATTATTGAGGAAGCGAGAAAGGAACCCTTGACTCTTCTGAAATCTACGGGGCTCTGAATTCCTAAAAATGCTCTAATTGCCCTTACCTTCTGGTGAGAAATAAAGCTAGGTGTTATAATAGCTGGAATAGAAGGCGGCTTTCAAAAGACCCCTTCTTTACTTTCAGTCAGTAATAGAACCGATTGGCTGCCAATAGCATCAAAACACCAGTTTGATAAAACTAAGCATCACAGATATAGCAGACCCCGAAGAGGAAAATGGCAGGCACACATGCACACTTGGCAGTATATTGGGGGAAACTCATGTTGTTTAGGTTACAGGGACCTTCTGAGACACTGGGGGAAGCCTGAGAGGGAATCTCCATGCTTCGTTCTTCTTTATACTGTTGAACATACGGTTCATCGCCTAATTGTCCTGTTCTATGTTTGTCATCCATAATATCATTGACCCATCACAGAGATGTAGATTAATTAAAGATTTCAAAGGTCTCTAAAAATGCCTGAAGTGTGCTTAAAAATAACCTACCCAACATTCCTATGGGCAGAACTAGGCCTTTGAACCACTACCTCCCATCCACTAAAATCATTGCTTACACTTGAGATGGGAAAGTTAGCATTTAATTTTGGTAATGTTAAATAAAAGTAAGGGAAAAGCTAAAGAATGGCATGTTGTTGCAGGATTTCTAAGAATGCAGCCTCCTGTGATTTAACTCTCGTCTCACTGGCTGCCATGCTAAGCCCTGCAGTCCCACTACACCTGCAGCAAACAAACTTAGAAACCCGGGCATTGCAAAAACAGTTAGGCTGACTGGCACTGCATTCATTTCCCTTCTCTTGCTTATTTCATTAGCCAAAAAAAGAAACAGAAATTATCATTAAGAACTGTCAAGGAGTGAATCAGAAAATTGTAACTTGAAGTTAAAATAAGAAACCGGCTCACTTGTGAAGCCTTAAAAGGAAGTTAATAATACTTGTACTGAAAGCTTTGTAAGGAATCAAGCCATTTGTTTTTTCTGACTCCACCTGATTCCAGTTGGTACTTGCTGGGAACCATTTACATACCAAACACACATGTGTCATAGGGATCTGCATGTTTTGATGCGGCTCTGATGAAGCGCTGACCAACAGTAAAGAGAAACTCATTTACTATGTAAGAGAGAAGGGTTTTGAGATTCAACGAGCGTTTAAGTGTATTATCAGCGGTGGACTATACTGGGGAAAAGACAGAGAGAGGGTTCCTACACTGCAGGTTCAGGAAAAAGTGCCAAGGGCCTTGGAAAGGAGCAGAGAGAACCCGAGGAAGGAAGCGGGGTGCAGGCAACTGGCCACAAAACATTCCCAGAGTGAGGTGGGGTGCCTGAGCTGGAGAGGGCTAACTGGGGAAGGATCTGTTCCCGGAGCAAATTTGCCATATTTATAACTCAGGAACTGTCATTTGTTGGCTGGGGCGCTCTAAGAAATCCTCCTCAGCAACATAAGGCTTCAGAGATTTTCCTGGGATTGGCCAGCTGGTACTCTCCTCGAAATCCCGTGGGGGGCAATGGGAAAAGACCTTGAGCTTCCCTCTTGTAGTTCCGGGCCGGCTGTTATTGGTCTCATATATTCAACTTCAAGGAGAGAAATTAAAATGAGTTTGGCTGATGCACCTCAAGTTAGGCCATTTAATAACAGGCACACTACTGGTTCGGCAGTCACCTTGCATCAGAAGGAAGTAAACATTCTGTACCGAGAGCAAAACTACGCCCTCTACAATGCTGACACTCGCTGGGAGTGTGAGAGGCTTTGTTATCAAGAATTCTCAGAAGTCACCAGAAGTGAGAGAAAAAAAGTTATTGTGGTTCATCCTCCTTTTTAATTTTTTCAGTCTGTCCTTCCAGATCTTCACAATGTGCTTGTGTTTCATGACCCACCCTGTAATAAGAATTCTTTCATCTGTGTTTAAAACCTGTTTACACAGATGCACATAACATTACATTCTGACAAGGTCTCGAGTTTATGGGGTAAGAAGGGAAAGAGAATAGATAGTAAGCATTTAGAAATTAAAGAACAAGACGAGTTCATGATGTAAAAAAAAAAGTAGAAAAGAAATGGCTTAGTTTCATATCAGAAAGAATGCTTTTATTTTATCCCTTCGTACCACCCCACCCCACCCTACCCCAAAAATAAGTAAACATATAAACTAAAATGCCACATTAAAAAGTAGATGTGCGTTCTCCCTAATTTTCCAAAAGGTATCAGGGACCTATCTTCTGCTTTTCCTGTGCTGATCTAAAGGGTCCCTTTGACTGAGTTATTTTTAGAATAGTGTCTCGGACCTCGTTTGTACTGGGGTCTGAGAGCAGAGTGCTACTTTCAGGAATTACATGAGTCAATTGTTAACACTGTCAGTATTAAGAACAACAGTATCTAAATTCACAATCATATAAATTACATTATAAAAATAAAAATTCAAACTGTATCCTTTTCTAGTTATTTAGCTACATTTCACAAACTGTGCTCTTGAGATCATTTACATAGATTATACTTCTATAGTAATGTGCTACTGTAAATTACTTTCCAACCCTACATTCAGTGATGCTACTTTGATGGCTTGTAACGGACTATGGGGGCAGCGTTTACGTCACATACTTGGAAAATGCTATGAATCACAGATCCTGTTGTCAAAACCTTTACTTACACACTATTGTTTATATATACACGTAGTAGGTGAAACAGGGTGGGAAGATGCTATACATGGTCAAATTGTATACTAAGTGGTAATATTAAGGCAGTGTCTAAGGGCCTCTATTGGGCCTTTCATATTTCATTTAAATATGAATTTCTGTCTCTAAGAATTAAGAATTTCCAATCTCAGCATCTTTCCTAACTTTACACTTTAGTTCCTGACACTGATATTCATAACACTCTATATTCAACATATCCAATTCATGCATCGATGTTCAGTTAATATTCATTGCTTGAAAAAAGATGGTAAGTATTTTTAATAGAATAAGTTCTATTCTGCAGGACTATATACAGTTAATCTAGTTTAATCTAAAATAAAGAACCTAATTCCATAAGCCACCTACTAAAATTAGTCTCCTAACTTTATAGAACAAGTACACACATATGCTCATAAAAACGGGATGATCTGATTTAAAGTTTAAGTGAAGCAATTTAATTCAAGCAAAGTGAACAGGAAATGTTCAAATGTCAGTATATAGATTAATTTTCCATTTTGCAACCAATTTAAATGTTTATAAAAGGAATGTTTGTAAATGACCTTCTCCACAAATTATTTATAACTACAGATAGAGCAAGCGCTCAAAAAATAGTGAAATCACCCTAAATCTACTATGATGTCTTCAGAAGTGGTACTAGGAATTTCTCCAAAGAGTACTCAAAGCAATTTTTTAAAAAGGCATCTGCAATTTACCTGTGGTCCATGGGGTAGCTGCTCTCCGGTATGGACTGCGACGGAGGGAGGTGAGCTGGGAAGGCCCGGTCAGGTTTAGGAGTGTGAGTTGAATTTGGAGATGCATGATGCAGTGGGGACACTGGGGTGCTGGATGGTGTTGGGGGATTGGAGGGCCTCATCCCCACGTGTGGCTTCTGATCATAGGCACTACCCGAAGAACAGCAGCAACAAAAGAGAGAACATTTATTTCTCTGGAGCCATGAAAAAGTGTTTCCAATTCGAGGGGAGAAAGAATTTGTGTGGCTTAATGTATAAGAAATATCTATTTTTCTTTTTAAATCTAGGACATGTGAACTTCAAAATCATCACATACTAAATAAAAAAACATTATAAGTCATATACATACTATTTTTGATACATATATAACAGCTTAGCATAAGGAAACCATTGTCAATGAAAACTTGATCTAATTCCTTAAGCAAATTTGACAGATCTTTCCTAACTATTCAAGTATTTCTAAGATTATAGTTCTTGTTTTATATGGTCTAAGATTTTAGAACAAGAACCTAAATCTGTTTCCTAAAATGTAGCTCTTACCAGGCTTTGCTTATTTGTGATAGAACTTTAAGATGGTAACGTTTTTAACTAGGTTTTTTTGAAAAATATGAGGCCATGAGCTCTCTTTAAGATTTACAAAGTCTTGGAAACCCTACAAAAGTGCTCAATAGGTCACAATTTTGGCACTTTTTTATGAAATAGATTTTTATCTCACATCGAAAATACAGCTTTTATGTGGGGGCGGTATAAAATCATATGCCCTACAGGATGTGTGTTAGTCGACAGCTCACGTCTTGTTAGGGCTTCCTTCCCGCCAGTAGTAGGCTACTAGTAATTAAGTTTGGGGATCAGAAGTTATGTGTAGATTTTCAACTACTTGGAAGTCAGTATATTGTTCAGCAGTTAACTGTACAAAATTATTCATTCCAAGGTATAGCTTTTGAGGGTGAATGAACAAATTTTCATAAATATACAGAGGATTTTACTGAACATAAATTTAAAACTTCCAAACAAAAAGATGTCTAAATAAGAACATTATAATTTACAATAAACGGTATACACCAATGCACATCTTTTTCTTCAAAAAAGAACTTTATTTTAAGGACTTCGAATTCTCTTTCATAACTTAGAGGAAAACCAATCATTAGTCAGAAATGCTTAGTTGATATTAACCATGTTAGATCCTTGGTTTTCAGAAAGTTAGTTTTAGAAGCATTGCAGAAGGATTTCTTTTGCTCGAATTATAATTAAAAGTACAAACACATTTCAGAGAAATAATGGGTTGTGTTCTGCAAGTCAGCATGTTTGGTTCTCCCTGAAACCTCTACTCTTAAACAAAAAATGTTTCAGCTCGTTCATGACTATGAATCAGAATTAACTCAAAGGCAGTGAACTTGGTTTTTATACTTCAGTCTCAATGAAAACAGGAGAACTTTTGGACCTGAGTATATTATTTTTTCCCATGAAATGTTGGATTACATGATTTGCCTAGTGATAATAGCATCGGAATTTATTTGCACACACCATCTACCATTCTGGGCATTATTGTCCATAAGAAAAGACTCAAAACATCCACTATGTCCTCTACTGCATGGTAAATATATAAGACAGCGATTTCAGTCACACTTAGGATCAATGCTGAAATGGAAAGACAATTCTCTATCTAATGGGCTTATTGATTTAAACTTCTTCAATATGTTAAATAATGATGCTGTGTACACATAGTATTCTAAGGAGAAAATATAAAAATGAAACTAAACTATAAGATAGCTGAGATTGAGCAATATTATCTCAGCATGCATTAATAGCTAGCTTTCAGAAAAGGTATTCTTTCTTATGAAAACTTTGCAATTTCAACAGAGACAGCGCATAATTTCAGGCTCTGGTGCGCCTCCTGAAAAAGTAGAAATGAAAAACAAGTTTACAAGAATTAATAGTAATAAAACGTCCAACACAATGGTCAGCTGCTATGGATTGCAAAAACTGTTTCTTGAATCTTTTGATCTTGCATATAAAATGTATGTAGCAGACTGATGAGGAAGAAAAAAATTCCCTTCAGATAATGATGTACAATGAACTCAAATCTATTCTGATTTAGAAAGCAGGGCACATATTTGTAATCAGTCTTGTAAGTTTTCAAACTGGTTCCTTTCAGGAACGAAGTTTCTATTGTGATTGAGAATAATAATATCCAATACTCAGTGCCAAGTTTTTCCTTATGAAATTAGAGGCCAATATGAAGAGTAACAGAATGCAATTTACTGTGAAGGGTTTTTTAATGAACATATACATTATCAAATTTTCTAACAAATGAACAATGTACTTTTACTGCTCCACCCTTTATTATCATCAGAGGGAACAACTGGCTTTTTAATAGATAATGGCCTCTGCTAAGCCTTATAAAATTCTAAGTTTTATTGCAATTGTCCATGAATGCATCTTATAGATCATCTGCAAAGCCTGTCAGATAACTAATGTACTGCGCAGACCTGCCAAAGGTTTCATTTTTCTCCAAACTCTCTGTCTAAAGTGCATAATGCTTCCATTCTGAGAACTTATAAAAGCTGCTAATGCCAAGGAATACCCCTTTTCAAACCCAAGATGCACCTCTTCAGTGGATAAATGACTAATGATTTGTACAAAAAAATTGCTTCAAAATGATCCTGAAAGTGTGTGAGCGAATGGTAAACGGTTCTTTAGAATTCTGCTAAAGGCATTATCTAATTAGCCTGTTATCTGCTGAAGTTGTCATTCATGAATTATAACTTGAGATTTTATGTTATCTTGGATTTTTGTTTCAACAAGAACCACCATCCTGTAAGGGTGTAGCAGGCTTCTTTACCTGACAGTGTACAGGCACTTTTCTCCATAGCTGAATTTAAAGGGCTGTTCTTGACTGCAGGCAGAGCCAAGCTCTGAACATGGACTGTGGGGTTCTTTCTTGATTTTCAGTGGCAGGCCATGAAAAGCCACTAAAAACAAAACAAAAACAGCCACATAAGTCATATGCAGTTTGAAAGTAAGTAAACCGATCTGTTCTAGTTCTCTTGTTTAAAATGGCACTAGAATATACATATAAAAAAGACTACATTTGTTGAATTCTGATGGAAGAAAGTAGACTGGAAGGCTTGTTTACGCCTTTTCTGCTTTTGTCATATAACAATGCATACTTGAATTTAGAGTAAAACCAACTTAGAGTAAAACAGAGTTTAACTAATCATTTGTAAATATGTCTAGCTGATGATTTTAACAATGTTAGACCTTTGGTGTTCAGAGAGTAAGTTCAAAAATATTTCCAAAGACTAAAGCAGAAACAACAAAATTGATTATCTACAAATTAACCAAAGCCTAGTTTTAGGTTTTACTGAAAGAATAATATCTCAAATGCACCACTAGTGATGGTTTATCAGAATGACAAATGGAGTATGAGAAGAGAAATGGGGGTGGAGAAGGTATAAAACCAGTAGTAAGTAATGGTACTCTGGTTACAAAGTCAACGCCTTTGATTACAATGCTCATTTATAAAGGTAAATCTATACCTATCACTGGAATAGAAAGATGAAATATAAGAAATATGTTAAATTTTTATAACATGAAATCTACTATAAATATTATTCTAGTTCTCATTTGGCATATGATCTTGTGATTATGGTTATGTTTATTCCATGCTTAATATAATAAAAATGTTATATTAGAAACATTTGTAAATATGTAAATCTTCTGGAAAAATCATAGCTTTAAAATTAATAAATAAAATAACATCTTGTATATTTTACTCTTCAATAGGAAAACACAAGAGGCACTGGTGGGTCCGTCATGTAAGCAATTCAACCTCACCAGCTGCTCCAAAGATAGACAGTCTGGTCTGACCCCTGGAGACTTATGAATCCTCAGAAAGCCTATCCGGGTCACTCAGAGTAGGCGTACGCAGTGACAGTGGGTAGGGGAAACCACAGCTCGTTCATATGTATCGGAGATGCAACCAGAATAATCCAAGTATTGACAGAAGTAGGAAATCGATCAAAAGAAAAATCATTGGGGGAAAATAGGTCTAAGAATAGAGTTTGTTTTCATAACAAGTGTGACTAATCAAAGAACAAACACAGGACAGGCACACATTGAGAATATTAATTCTAACATCTATACATGTTGGAATCAAAACACAAAATCTTCTGTGTGTGTTCCATAAGGGAATACATGAAAAAAGAAACATAATATTTATTTGTATATGCAAAAAATTGATACAAGGTTTCACTGATACTCATCAGTCAGTTGAAACATTCTAGAAAACAGATTTGAACATATCACCTAGGAAATGATAATTGTGAGAAGAAGAAATAAACGTGAATAGGAACTGGATAGTGTAAGAAATAATTTAAAGAATTCTTAATTTTGTTGATTGTGGTAATAGCACGGTGGTTGTACAAAAAATGGTTTATAATTTCATAAAGTATGTACAGAATAAATAAGAATGTCTGATATTTACTTTAAAATAGTTTTAGCAAGAATAGAAAAATCTTAATTGATGGAAGGGCTTATCATATCAGTAGGCTTTCTACTCCCATAAAGAGTTAGAGTCTCAGAAATTCACTGGGGTTGTTCTACCCTGTCCACAGGGTCGCTATGAGTTGGCATGGACTCGAGGGAATTGGGGTTAGTGTGGTGTAGTAGTGATGTGGCATATTCTTTCTCTTAAATTAATGCAAGCGGTAGATTTTTTTTTAAATATAATTTTAAAAATGTGATAAAGTACTATTCTATAGGAAACCCTGCCCCCCTCCATATATACATTTGTGTCTGTTTATGTTTTCGATTTAATTGAAGTAAAATATTATATAATCTTTGTAATATAACAACTATATATTCATTGTTTCTTTAATTTGTTTTTTTACTATGTGTTACTTCTTTGAATATATATAGATATATATTGCAAAGGGAACATACCTATGTTTTATGTTTTAGTTCTTTGAATTAAACATTGGTGTTTCACAGCTCCTTAATAAAAACTATTTGCATCAGATAAGGAATTCAATTTGTCATCTGAAGAAATAACAAGTCACATTTAAGAAATTGGATCTAATTTATATAAATTATACTGATAAGACTAGAAACCAATCAGTATTCAATATAGCTCAAATTTTATCATGTTTATGAAAACATCAGGATACAAGAGTCTATCTGAAATTCAATCATTTAAATACTACATCTTAAAATCTTTGGACCTTGAAGTGGAAAAATAAAATAGTGAAAAGTGAGTGGCACAAAATCATTACCCAATAAAAACTTCAATCATCATTGAAATCAAGAGTTTCTCGATATTAAGAGACATCATTACAACAGAGGAAAGGAAGCCACAGGGGAGAACATATTTGCAATAGAAATATCTGAAAAAAAAATCTCCTATTCCATATAATAAGAAGTCCTACATAATTACATGACAGAAGGTGTATTTTTAAAATTACCTAAAAAGACTTACTAGGCACCTCATAAAAGTGTGCATGCAAATGGCAAAGCAAAAAAAACCCAGACATACAGGTACACACGAACCCCACCCAAAACCCACTGCTATCAGATCGATCACGACTCATAGTCACCATAAAAGACAGAGTACAATTGCCTCATGTGTTCCAAGGTTGTAACATTTTACAGAACAAGACTGCCACATCTTCTCCAGCACATGAAAAAATATGAGTAAATATATTAAATATTTACTCATCAGGAAACTGAAAGTAAAATCATATGAGCTATTACCATCCATCAAAGTTTGGGAAACGTTATGAAGCCACAAGAATTTTCCCAGATGCCACAAAGAACATCAATTGATCTAACCCCTTTAGAACACCTGTAGAGTGTCTAGGAGCCCGGGTGGTGTCGTGGTTATGCGTTAGGCTGCGCATGGCCAGCACTTCGAGAGGCTTTCTCCTCTGGTCAACAGGTACATCTCGGAAGCCCCAGGCGGTCACTATGAGTCGGGATAGACTCAAAGGCGGTGAGTGGGTAACCA